TAGCCAGCCACAGCGCCACTTCGGTTTTCTAGTGGTTTATTGGAGGTAAGAGTCTCAAGGACTTTTCTGCCCTGCACCATCCTCAGATAGCCTCCTGAGTAGCTAGGATTACAGGGGTGAGCCACCAGCACCTGGCCTTATTTATATTCTTACATATTGAGCTGAAGAGATCAGGGACAGTGCCAGGCCCAGAGTTCAACACCCACCCCACGCCACCAAACAAAAAAAAAAAGGCTGAAAAATTCTCTAGTACAAAAAAAAGCAAAGGAAGTGAGGGTGACTTAAATAGCCAGAGAATGTCCAATAAACTACCAAAAAGCCGAAAGAGGGCCTATGGATTGTGTTAGCCTTGAATGAAAAAAAAAATAGGGATCAGTGCCTAGGCTCTGAGTTCAAGCCCCAGGACCAACACACAATAAAATTATAATGATGATTGAAAGTACATGCAGATTTTTCACTAAGCTTTTGCTTCAGAATTACTAAAGTGTTAATAAGTAAAAATGGACCAATAGAAATGAAGAGATGCTCAACCTTACTAGTTTCAAAAAGTTGATTGTTGATGGTTTTTAAGAGTTCATTATACTTTCTCTCTTTTAGGAAGTGAAATCATTGTTTAAAAGTGAAAACTGCCCCAAAGTGATAAGCTGTGAATTTGCACATAATAGCAACTGGTATGTCACGTTCCAGTCTGACACAGATGCACAACAGGTGAGAAGACTTTGCTTCTGATAAAAGTCCTACTAGTAAAAGAAATCATAGTATATTTTAACTAAGAAAATAGGGCCAGCACAGTGGCTCACAGCTGGCAGAGATCCAGAAAACCATGGTTCTAGATCAGTTTAAAAAAAAAAAGGGCTGGGAAGGTGGCTCAGTGGTAGAGTGCTTGCCTTGCATGCTTGAGGCCCTGGGTTCGATTCCTCAGCACCACATAAGCAGGGAAAAAAAAAGAAAGAAAAAAAAAAGCCAGAAGTGGCTCTGTGGCTCAAGTGGTAGAGTGCTAGCCTTGAGCTGAAGAGCTGAGCCCAGGCCCAGAGTTCAGGCCCCACGACTGGACCCCCCACAAAAGAAAGAAAAAGAATAAAAGCAAGAATAGTTAGACATGGTGGGGCACACTTGTCCCCTATAATCCTAGCTATATGGAAAACATAAATAGAAGCATCACTGTCTGAGGCTGGTCCCAGGTAAAAATGTAATACCTTCTTTGAAAAATAATGCCTTTAAATGCTAGAGTCCAGTGACTGCTTAGCAACCATGAGACCCTGAGTTCAAACTCCAATGCCATTATTGAGATAAAAAGAATTGTCTGGTGCTGGTGACTCACACCTGTTTATCCTAGCTACTCAGGAGGCTGAGATCTGAGGATCGTGGTTCAAAGCCAGCCCGGGCAGGAGAGACCGTGAGACTCCTATCTCCAATAAACCACCAGAAAACCGGAAGTGGCGCTGTAGCTCAAGTGGTAGAGCGCTGGCCTTGAGCTGAGGAGCTGAGGGACAGCGCCCAGGCCCAGAGTTCAAGCCCCACGACCGACAAAAAAAAAAAAAAAAGAACTATATAAGCTGGGCTAGCTAGCCACTTAGGAGGCTGAGATCTGAGGGTGGTGGTTCAAAGCCAGCCCAGTGAAGGAACTCTTATATACAGTTAACTACAAAAAAGTCAAGAAGTGGAGCTTTGACTCAAATGGTAGCTTGCTACCCTTGAACATAAAAGCTCAGGGACAGCACCCAGGCTCTGACTGAGTTCAAGCCCCAGGATTGGCACTAAAAAAAGAAGATATATATCAAACACTGTTCTAAGAACTTGACATAGTTAAATCTCATTGCTGTGCAGTGGTGTATTACTAGTTTATGTACACAATTAGTCTTCTAATGTATTCTGTCTTTTAATGCCACTATTTCTTCTTTGAAGTGATCAGGATATTCTTCAGCATCTTCCAAGAGCTTTGACTATTCATATTTATATTTAGATATTTGGCACAGTTCTTTTATCTGGTATATTTTGTACAATGCAGTACACAAAAATACATAGTATAAAAAGTTGCCGCATCTCTTTGAGATCCACTTTAGGCTCTTTATTACTTTTTTGCCACTCAACTTTCCTGAACTAATTCTGCTACTCTAATCACCATAGTTTTATAATATCCTTTTTTCCATAAGCAGTATTTAAAAACTTTTATTTTTCTGAATTGCCTTAACTATTCTTAGGCTACTACTTTTCTTTGTGGATTTCAGAATGTTTACCAATAAAGAACCAAAAAAAACCCATATTGGAATTATGAGTTTATACTTTAAAAAATTGGTAGATTGCATTTAATGTAATTGCATTCATTTATTGTTAAATTGAGGACAGTTTGAAGTTTTACGTTACAGTTATTTTAAGTGATATGTTAGTACTAATTCTGGTCTATTGTGGCTTATATTTAGCTCCTTAATGATTTTTTTTGGGGGGGGAGGGGGTCAGTCATGGGGTATGAACTCAGGGCCTGGGTACTGTCCCTGAGCTCTTTTTGTTCAAGGCTAGAGCTCTAACATGTTGAGCCACAGACCCACCTCTGGTTTTTCTGGTTGTTAGTTGGAGATGACTCTCACAGACTTTCTTACCTGGTATACTTTGAACTGTGATCCTCAAATCTCAGCCTTTTTAGTAGCTATGATTACAGGAGTGAGCCACCTGTACACAGTTCTAAGTGAAATTTATATTGGGGTTTTACTTACTTATTTTGATCTATTGGGGGGTGCTTTTGAGTTTTTTTGTTTTGAAAAAAAAGCAGCAACCTTCCTGAAGTCCTTTAGTGGGTCTTTTGGGTTATCAACCTAAGATATTTTCTCTAAAAAATAGTTACTGGGCTGGGAAGGTGGCTCAGTGGTAGAGCGCTTGCCTTGCATGCATGAGGCTCTGGGTTCAATTCCCCAGCACCACATAAGCAAAAAAGAAAAAAAGCCAGAAGTGGCGCTGTGGCTCAAGTGGTAGAGCGTTAGCCTTGAGCTGAAGAGCTGAGGGACAGCACCCAGACCCAGAGTTCAGGCCCCATGACCGGACCCAAAAAAACAAAACAAAACAAATAAAAATAGTTACTGTTTTAATTCTTATACCTTTTTTTGCCTGGGCATTGTCCCTGAGCTTCTTTTGCTTAGGACTAGCACTCTACTACTTTAGCTATAGCGCCACTTCTGGCCTTTTCTGTTTATGTCGTACTGAGGAATTGAACCCAGGGCTTCATGCATGATAGGCAAGCAGTCTACCATGAAGCCACATTCCTAGCCCCTCTTCCATCTTTTGGGGGGGAGGGTCTGGTGTTGGTCATAGGGCTTGAACCCTGGGCCTGGGCGCTGTCCCTCAGCGTCCCTCAGCTCTTCAGCTCAAGGCTAGCACTCTGCCACTTGAGCCACAGTGCTCCTTCCTGTTCTCTGTGTTTATTGGAGATGAGTATTTCATGACTTTCCTGCCTTGGCTGGCTTTGAACTCTGATTCTCAGGTCTCAGCCTCCTGAGTAATTAGGATGATAGCATGAGCCACTGGTACCCAGGTCTTAAATCTTTCTTTTATTCTCTTTTTCTTTTTACTTTTGTTTTTGTTGTTGCCAGTGCTGTTGTTGCCAGTTTGAGCTGAAGCCTTACACAGTTTGCTTACTTAGGTGCCATTTTACCATTTGAACCTTTTTTCCAGTCCCTGTTTTACTGTTTTGACTTGTGGGTTTATTTTATTTTATTTTTGGTCGTGGGTCTTGAACTCTGGGCCTGGGTGCTGTCCCTGAGCTTTTCAGCTTAAGATGAGCCCTCTACCATTTGAGCCACAGCTCCACTTCTGGTTTTCTGGTGGTTCATTGGAGATAAGATTCTCACAGCCTTTCCTGCCTAGGCTGGCTTTGAACCATGATCCTCAAAACACAGCCTCCAGAGTAGTTAGGATTACAGGCTTGAGCCACCAGTGCCCAGCAACTTTTGTGTTTTTATCTTGTTTATTCTGACTTTTTCCAAGCACATGCTTTTTTGTTAAGGTTATCAGTTTTTTGTCCTTTCTTCTAGGTATTGTTAACAGAAACAATATAGTCAAATAAGATGAAAATGTAAATTTAGCATATTTTTAAAAACAAATTTACATTTTGTCTTAATGTTACAATGTGTTCCTTTTTTTTCTAGGCAAGGATAAAAGCCATCAACACATTTTTTGCTAAAAATGGTTACAGGTTAATGGATTCAAGTATGTATAGTCAGCCCATCCAGACTCAAGCCCAATTTCCCTCACCAGTGTTTATGCAACCTGTATATAGTCCCCACCAACAGTACTCCATCTATAGTCTTGTGCCTCAGTCTTGGTCTCCAAGTCCTGCACCTTACTTTGAAACACCACTGGTAAGTGAGATCCTTATTGAATGGTGAAATAAATTTTCATCAGGGTAAATTTGAAGAAATCATCTAGAGTAGTAGTTCATTTGTTTAGTGTTGATACAGGTTTTTTCCTGGCTTTTAAATTGTGATATGGGTTGATATGGATATCTAATTGCAGTTTTATTCTTTCTTTTTTTGTGCATGAGTGTGTTCATATACATGCTGATAACAGGACTTGGACTCCAGGCCTTGAGCTCTTACTGTGGCTGGTACTCTACCACTTAAGCCACACCTCCATTTCTGGCTTTTTCTTAGTTAATTGGAGATGAGAGTCACAATTTTGACTACCTAGGCTGGCTGCAGGTCTTAGCCTCCTGAATAGCTTTGATTATAGTTGTAAGCCACTGACACCTGGCTTTGCCCTTTTATTCTTTAAACTGTGAGTGAATTGAAAGAAGAAACTAAGTTCTGTATAAGTTTAACTTTTTTTGTCAGTCATTGGGCGTGAACTCTGGGCCTGGGCACTGCCCCTGAGCTCTTCAGCTCAAGGCAAGTGCTCTACCACTTGAGCCACAGCACCACTTCCGGTTTTCTGGTGGTTAATTGGAGATGAGTCTTATGCACTTTCATGCCTGGGCTGGGTTTGGACCGTGATTCTCAGATCTCAGCTTCCTGAGTAGCTAGGATTATAGGCATGCACCACTGTCTCCCAACTGAGTTTAAATATTTTTATTGTTGTGAAGTTTTCCCAAAAAGGAATGTTCCTTATTAAGTATTGAATTAGTGATATATTATTTATAAACTCAAGGGTATATGACATGAACATTGCAAAAGGTTTAAATTCTTTTGGACAGTGAAAGAAATTGATGTTTATGATTTATCTGACACTATATATGTATACACACATGCATAAACACTTTTTTTTTTGCCAGTCCTGGGGCTTGAACTCAGGGCCCAGGCACTGTATCTGAGCTTCTCTTGCTCAAGGCTAGTACTGTACCACTTGAGCCACGGTGCCACTTCCAGCTTTGTCTATGTATGTGGTACTGAGGAATCAAACCCCGGGCTTCATGCGTCCTAGGCAAGCACTAATGCACATTCCCAATCCTTTAGTCTATATTTTTACTTCAAGGTTTTTGTTTTTTTTTGTCAGTCATGGGGCCTGAACTCTAGACCTGGACGCTATCCCTCAGCTCTTCAGCTCAAGGCTAGCACTCTACCACTTGAGTCACAGTGCCATTTCCGGCTTTTTCTGGTTATATGGTGCTGAGGAATCGAACCCAGGGCCTCATGCGTGCAAAGGCAAGCACTCTACCACTGAGCCATCTTCCCAGCCCTACTTCAAGGTTTTTTTTTGTTGTTGTTGTTGTTCTTAGTTTTGTCGTTTATGTAGGCTTGTACTCAGGATCTGGGTGCTGTCTCTGTTTTGCTCAAGTCAGCACTGTACCTCTTTGAGCCACAACACCTGTATTTTGAGTGATTAATTGAATATGAGTTTCCTGGGGACTTTTCTGCCCTACCTGGCTTTGAACTAATGATCCTCATGATCTTAAGATCTCAGCCTCCTGAGTAGTTAGGATTACTGGTGTGAACTACTGGCATCCAGCTTAAAAAGTTATTTTTATTAGTGTATATTAACTGTACAGAATGAGAGGGTTTTTTATTTATTTGTTTTGTTGGTTTTTTTTTTTTTTTTGGTGGTCCTGGAGTTTGCTCATCCTCTTGGCCTGGGCACTGTCCCTGAGCTCCTTTTGCTGATTGCTAGTGCTCTACTATTTGAACCACAACTCCACTTTTGTTTTTTTCTGTGACTAGTTGGAGATAAGAGTCTCAGATTCAAAAGCCAGCCTGGATTGGTTCCATGATCCTCAGATCTCAGCCTTCTGAGTAGCTAGGATTACAATTCAGAGCCACTAGTACTAACCAAAATGAATGGTTTTATCATTGTTTCCATACATGTATATGCACTTTAGTCATTTTCATATCCTCTCTTACTTCCTCCCCATTTTTTCTTTACCATTAATATTGTTTAAACATTAAAATTGTATTCTAGGCTCCCTTTCCCAATGGCAGTTTTGTGAACGGCTTTAATTCACCAGGATCATATAAAACAAGTGCTGCTGCTATGAATATGGGTCGACCATTCCAAAAAAATCGGTAAGAAATCATAGCTGAAATTATTTTAAACACTTTCTAATAATTCTTGAAGAATTACTGTATTAATAGCAGTGGTTATTGGGAGACTCAGTAAAAAGGCCTTTATTTTTACAGGAAGTATGTTAATTCAGTTTAGTACTCATAAAGCTACTTTAACTTATGAGTTGATAATGTTTGTGAAAGGACTTCCCATTTTTATTTAATAAAAATGAGAATAAAGAAAAGATCTGGGCACTGGTGGCTCACATATATAATCCTATCTTCTGTGGAGGTTGAGATATTAAGATTAAGGTTTGAAGCCATCCATAGGCTGGAAAGTCTGTGAGATTTTTATCTTCAATTAACCAACTCCCCCCACCTCACTCCTTCCAAAAAAAAAAAAAAGCCTTGAAGTGTAGCTGTGGCTCAAGTGGTAGAGTACTAGCCTTGAGCACAAAAAGCTTAGAGACAATATGTTATGTAAGCTCTTCATTCAAGCCTTAGGACTGGCACCAAAAATAAAGACAATACTAGCCGGGCGCCATTGGCTCATGCCTGTAATCCTAGCTACTCAGGAGGCTGAGATCTGAGGATTTCAGTTCAAAGCCAGCCAGGGCAGGAAAGTCCGTGAAACTCTTTATCTCCAATAAACCACTAGAAAACTGGGAGTGGCGCTGTGGCTCAAGCGGTAGAGTGCTTGCCTTGAGCTGAAGAGCTGAGGGAAAGCGCTCCAGCCCAGAGTTCAAGCCCCATGACCCACCCAAAAAAAAAAAAAGATACAGTAGCAATCTCACATGATAACTAATATCTAATTGCCACTTAGTATATTGAATGAGAAGTAATTTGGGATATCTTTGAGGTTTGAAATGTTAAGTAATTTTAGTAAACAGTGTATGAATTGTATTAGTGTAAGATATGTATTATGTATATTTTGTTAATTAAGAAATAGAAATGTGGAAGTTTAAATATTCTAAGAGCATATAGCTTGTGACTGGCTTTGATTTAAACCCATGCAGTTTGATTGACTCCAAAAGTTTGCACTTAAAAGCATAATGTTCAGAATAAATTATTAGGGGGTTGAATATATGCCTCAGTGGTAGCTTTGTATGTGCAAAGGCCCTGGGTTTGATCTCTAGCACTGCCAAGGGGAACAAGTAAACTATTAGGAATCCTAGTAACTATTTTCTATCATACAGAGATCTATAAGCCTCTTACATACTATTTTCTATAAAAGTACCAGCTGATAATCTCAGAGTAAGTGTAACCCAAGACTGGTGGCTCACATCTGTAATCCTAGCTACTCAGGAGGCTGCAATCTGAGGATCATGGTTCAAAGCCAGTCTGGGCAGGAAAGTCTAAGAGTCTTATCTATAATTGGTAAAGCACTCACCTTGAGGCAGTGCCCAGGCCAGAGTACTCCCAAAAATAATAATAATTTAAAAAAAGGAATATCCAGGAGCCAGTGGCTCACATCTGTAACCCTAGCTACTCTGGAGGCTGAGATCTGAGGCTAGCGGTTCAAAGCCTGCCTGGGCAGGAAACTCCGTGAGATTCTTATCTCCAATAAACCACTAGAAAACGGGAAGTGGCACTGTGGCTCAAGCGGTAGAGTGCTCGCCTTGAGCTGAAGAGCATAGGAACAGCGCCCAAGCCCAGAGTTCAAGCCCCACGACCGACCAAAAAAAAAGGGAAATGCCTGATGGCTTAGAACTACTCAATAGTTTTCACATTGATTATTTATTGTTTGCCCCTTTTGGGAGCCTCTTAATTTTGAAATTTGGGTTTTTTTCCCCGAATGATTTCTTTTTGTGACTTTCAGTCTTTTGCCACTTCTAATTTTCTTCTTGACCCTTTGGTAAAGAGATCCCATGGAGTATATTTTTTAAAGATGAATTCTTGGAACTTAGTCCTTTATGTGAGGCTTTTCAAAACATGCTTTATTGAAGAAAGGAGCCTCACAGTATAAATAAAAAATATTCTTCTCGGGGCATTCACTTATGTACTACCTTTTAGTTGTCAGGATTTGGGGTCCTTCTTTGACTGATGAATAACCCATTCATCAAATGCTTTAACCCAAAGCATTTGAAAGTTTTTTTTTAAGTACTGGAAGAGTTCTACATAAATCAAATGATAACTCTGAAGATCTACTGCTTTTCAGAGTGTGTCAGCCTATGTTTGTATCCTGGCTACTTGGGTGGGGGAGATGGGATATATCACATTTTGAGGGTAATTCTGGCAAAAAAAAAAAAAGCAAGAGCTCAGCTCAACTAATAAGGCAGGCATAGTAGACTCAGCTACATTAAAGCCATGTGTTGGAACATCTGTCTAAGGCCATCTCCTATTGAAAACAAGTGAGACCCTGCCTGAAAAATAACTTAACACAAAAGAGCTAGGAGTGAGGGTCAAGTGGTAGATCTCCTGCCTATCAAGTATGAGGTCCTAAGTTCAAACTTTCCCAAAAGGCCTGAGGCAGAGGGATCATTCAACTTCAGGAGTTGGAAGCTAGCCTGGGAAAAATAGAGAGATTTTGTCGCCAAAAATAAAAAGGTAATAATGATGATGGTCTGATGCAGGATGCCTTATAAACACAAAATGATTTGTGCCCTTACATGACTTGATAATGTAACTGCAATTAACTCCAAGACTCATTATTACAGGGACATGAATATAATAGATACACTGTCCCCTAACTGCAACCCTGTTGTTTAGAAAAGATTAATTTCAATGAGTTTATATATCTATAAAGACAATAATGTTTGAATCTGGAAATACCTTTATTAGTGTATAGTTTTAACTTATTTACAGACAAAAGAAAGTGAAGGGTGAATAGCTGAGTGCCATGGCTCACACCTGTGAACCCAGCTACTTGGAGGCAGAGATAGGAGGATCAAGGTTGGGAACCAGTCCAGGAAAAAAGTTAAGTGCACCCCTATCTCAAAAACAAGCTATATATAGTGATTTGCTTCTGTAATCCTACCTGTTTGGGAGCTGAGTAGGAAAGCCACAATCCACAATCCAAGTTCTGCCTAGACAAAGGTGGAAACTCTAAAAGTACAAGGGACTGAGACATGGCTTAAATGTTAGTACTGATCTAACAAGTTCAAAGATCTGAGTTTAGTCCTCTGAACAGCTGGGCAGGGGGAGGGATAAAGAAAAATGAAGCTAAGTATAGTAAAAATCCTGTCAGGATTAAGATTAGAACAACTACTCCAATAAGCTGGGAAGGGTTTTACTTAAAAATAATTTTATTAGAGCTAGTCACAGTTGATAAACTACTCATGATAAGATTACTTACAATGGAAAAACAATATTTATAAATATACTTAATCTTCTGGGTGCCAGTAATCCTAGTTACTAAGGAAGTTGGGATCTGAGGATTGTAGTTCAAAGCCAGCCCAGTCAGGAGGAAAGTTCTTGAAACTCCAATTAGCTAGCAAAAAAATTGGAAATAGTGGTATGGCTCGTGTTAAAATGCCAATCTTGAACTTAAAAGCTAGGCTAGAACATGAGGTCCTAAGTTTAACCCCCAGTACCAGTATAAAGGAAAAAAAAACACAAAAAGAAAAACAAAATTTGATGTCCTGTTCTTTCACATGTGTGTGACTGATATGTTATTAATTAATTACAAAAATAATACATTAATACTTTCTTGTATTTATAGCTTTTAACCAAAATCACAAAATGGTTTTCTCCTTACTTCTGAGAGTTGTCAGCTAACAGGCCTTTATTCTGTAAAGTTAACCAGCAAAGAAAAACATTTGAAAGTCTGTTTATATTAGAGAATCTGTTTATATTAACTAGATGGCCTAGTGATGATCACTAGTTGTACTTAGAATAGGATTAACTTTCAAAAGCCCCAGCATTTATCTTCTCGTCTTACATAATTTTTCTTTCACTTCTTCCTTTATTTTTGTTTCCTTCCTTTGCTTTATAATTTCTCTCTTTATTTTCTGTTGCCTGGATTGAGATTGTAAATCCCTCTCCGTGAAGGGTAAGATTATGAGATCTGAGGGCTGTTGAAACCTTCTAAATAGATATGTAAATAGCATATTTACCTTCTGAGGCTGTTTTCAGGTATAATAAATAGCAAATGTTTAAACTGTAAGGTTATACTGATATTTTCTTTACTGTTAAATCTATTTGGAGGCCAGGTTTGGCAACACATACCTGTCTAACCCCAGCTATTCAGGAGGTAGAGTCAAGAAGATAGAGTATTTGGCACCAGTAAAGGTGTAACCCTGTCTCAAAAACAAAGAGTTTGGGTATTGCTCAAGTGGCACAAATCCTTGGTTTCAATTCCTAGATCTATACCCCTCCAACAACAACAATAAAAATTAGAAACCAATTTTTAGCCTGAAGGTTTTTCTATCTAGAGTCATCCTTTCATGTATGTGATCTTATATTTCTTTTAGTGTGAAGCCTCATTTTAGATCATCCAGTGGTTCAGAACACTCAGCAGAGGGCTCTGTGTCCTTGGGGGATGGACCATTGAACAGATCTAGTTCAAGAAACTTTCTACCTGAACGACATAACCCTACAGTCACAGGGAATCAAGAACAAACTTACTTTCCAAAGGAGACTCCCATTTTACAGATGGAACAGAATGGGGACTATGGTAGGGGCAGGTAAGGAAATAGGGGTATAAGAAAACTCTTTATTCGTCTTAAATATTTAAATATAGCTAGGGGCTAGTGGCTCACCTATAATCCTAGCTACACAAGAGGCTGAGGATCACAGTTCAAAGCCACCCTGGGCAGGAAAGTTCAGGAGACTCTTATCTTCAATTATCCACCAGAAACCAGAAGTGGTGCTGTGGCTCAAGTGGTGGAATGCTTGCCTTGAGCTGAAGAGCTGAGGGACAGCGCCCAGGCGCAGAGTTGAAGCTCCATGACCACCCTCTCCTTCCCCCATTTTTTAAAATATAGTCACTTTAAATACTTGAATATTTTTCTAATGATTTTTGTTCTTGATAATTTAATAATTATTGTTTGGTTATCCTAAATATATTGTCCACATAATGTGGGATTACAAGGTTTGGGTTGTTTCGTTTTTGGTTTGGAGCAGGTTTGGCAGTGCTGAGTATTGAACCCAGGGTCTCAGGTATATGTTAAGCAAGTGCTCTTTCATTGGCCATAGCCCCAAACCTAGAAGTTTTTGTTTTGTTTTTATAATTACTAAGAAATATAGAGTACCCATAGGGAATATAATTCTGAATCAGAAGTTTATATCATGAAATTTATTTTACCGAGGAAAGAACTGCTTAGAACAATTATGTACCCAATTGTCTGTCAGTTTTAATTTCTTTCAGTTTACTAAAAATAGGAGTGGGATTATATCTAATTCTCATTTTCTTCTAGTGTAGAGGGCATACTAGTAATAAAACAGGGCCAGCAAGAATGAAAAATAGCTATAGATACAACAAATCTTCATCTTTGGTAGAATGTATACATTTTAATTATGAACTGTTCCACCCCCTCTTTTATTGTTAAAGGAGAACACTCTTCAGAGGTCGTAGAAGACGGGAAGACGACAGGATTCCCGTAAGTATTAACCTCTTTCTTTCTTTTTTTTTTAGATACAGATCTGTGTGTGTGTGTGTGTGTGTGTGTGTGTGTTTTTCAGTGTGACATTGCCTTACATATATACCATATATATATATTTTTTTTTGGGGGGGGGCCCGGTCGTGGGGCCTGAACTCTGGGCCTGGGCACTGACCTTCAGCTCCTCAGCTCAAGGCTAGTGCTCTATCACTTGAACCACAGCACCACTTTCAGCTTTTTTCTTTTTTGCTTATGTGGTACTGAGGAGTGGAACCCAGGGCCTCAGGCATACAAAGCAAGCGCTCTACCACTGAGCCACCTTCCTAGCCCCTATATAGTTTATTTCAACCAGTGTTAACCCCTCTTTCAGTCTACTTTATCCTCCTCCTTAAGGGTTTTTGTAGTTGTTGTTTTAGCACTTTAACTCAGTACCTGACACTTTCATTGTTGGCTAGCATTCTATTGACTGAGTCTGGGCCTGGACAGTGTCCCTCAGCTCTTCAGCTTAAGGCTAGCGCTCTATCACGTGAGCCACAATACCACTTCCAGCTTTTTCTGCTTATGTGGTGCTGAGGAATTGAACCCAGGTCTTCATGCATGCAAGGCAAGCACTTTGCCACTAAGCCACCTTTCTAGCCTTTCCACTTCCTCTTTAAAACAGTTTACACTGGTTTCAATGTGAGGTGTTTTGTCTGAGTGTGCACGAACGTGTGCATGCTGTGCTTGAACATAGGGCCTAGGCACTGTCCCTGAGCTTTTATGATTCAGGCCACAGTTCCACATTCAGCTTTTTGGTGGTGAATTGGAGATAAGAGTCTGATGACCTTTCCTACTTGGCTGGCTTGGAACCTTGATCCACAAATTTCTGCCTCCTGAGTAGTGAGGATTTAGCTGTGAGCCACTGGTACTTGACTCATTGTTCTATTTTTGTACTTACATATAAAGTATTCTAACCATACTCACCCTCATTCAGTATTTTTAATCTTAAATTATATCCTTTAGTTTGTTTGTTTTCCTC